TCTCTCATTGCTGAGACAATATACCTGACACTCAACATTAAAGCTTGCAGTTTGTAGAGGTCCAGAGTTGTGTGGCTCCAAGGCAGGGTGACATGACAGACAGGCATTGAAGAGAAGAACAATTCATGACCAGCCAAACATAGCAAAGCAACAAGGGATGATACCAGCTCTTCTTATCCCTTGTATCTTATCCAGTCTGCTTAGGGAAGGTAGCCCTCACACCCTTAATCCTAGTGTCCTTGATCCTAGCATTACACCATGAATCAATTCCAGCATCCCACACTCTAGATCCAGCTACTTCTGAAAAAGCTCCACTTATGACTGCATGAGGCTTTGAGGGGGGGCATCTAAATACAATTTGTAACAGGTAGTATGTGGTAAGTGTTCAATAAATATTGTTGAATGAATGACTACATATATATTAGATATAGATAGATTTAGATATAGAGATATAGATGATACAGATAGAGGTATGTAACTTGTGCAGTGTCACGAATTGAATCCTAAGCCTTCTACATAATAGGCAAGTGCTCTGTCATTGAGCTCTGCCCCTACCCCAGTCCCCCACACCCACACTTTTTGCAGCATCGGAGATCAAACCCAAGGGTACTTTACATTCAATTATGTCTTTAGCTCTTTTTATTTTCTTTTTCCTTTTTGAGACAGGGTCTTGCTATGCAGTTCAGGCTGGCCTTGAACTCACTTTGGAGCCCAGACTAGTCTCAAACTGACAAAGATCCTCCTGCCTCAGCCTCCTGAGTGCTGGGATTACAGGCGTGTGCCACCACACCTGGCTAACCTTTTTAAAATTTGAAATAAATTCTTGCAAAATTGTACAGGCTGGATTTGAACTTGCAGTTCTTCTGCTTCAGGCTCCTGGGTATCTGGAATTATAGGAGTGGGCTACTGTGCCTGGCTAGTGTGGTGCTGCATGCCTTGGGAAGCTGAGGTAGGAGGATCTCTTCAAGTTCAAGACCAAGTTTGGTGCATTCTTAATGTAATAACATTGCCACTTTTTTTTTACCATGAGGTATGAGAAAGGACATATGCTTCAAAACTCTGTATGCTGGTGAAATGGTTATAAATACATACATACTACATATAGCTTTTCAAAAATGGATTTTATTTTAAGAGCAGTTTTAGGTCCATACCAAAACTGAGTAGAAAGTCTGCATAGTTTTGTCTTTTTCAGGATGTCATGTTGGAACTATATAGTATGTAGACTTTTTATACTTGCTTTATATAGTTTATGTATCTGTTAGAAATAGTTTATGTATCTAGTTATCTATTTAAGGATATTTTGGTTGCTTTCAAGTTTTGGTAATTATAAATAAAGCTGCTATTAAAATTTGTGTTCAGGTTTTTGTGTGAATGTACTTGTTTGGGTAAATACCTAAAAGTATAATTGCTGGATCATGTGGTAAGATGTACTTGGAACAGTGTCTTCCAAAGTTGCTGTGACTTTTCATTCATTACAGTATTAAATGAAAGCACATTGCTGTACATTTTTATGAGCATTTGGCATCTTCAGTGTTTTGGATTTGGGCCATTTGAATAGGTGGGTCATGGAATCTTGCAGTTACTTTGCAATCCTAATGGTATAGGATGTTGAGCATCTTTTCAAATGTTTATTTACCATCTTTTGGTGAGATTTGTGTTCAAATCTTTTCCCTACTTTTTGATTGGGTTATTTGTTGTTGGATTTTAAGAGTGTGTGTATTTTGGATGACAGTTGTTTATCAGTATGCTTGAAAGTATTTTCTTAGCTTATTTTCTCATTCTCTTGCTGTGTGCTGTGTTTTTAGATATATGAACTTCTGTCATATATTTCTGTTGTGGGAGGTGTATGTAGTGAATTGACAACTAGTGGTCATCTTAGAACCCCCAGCTGAACTGAGTAAGCATGGTGCTGGGTGTGGGAGGCCCACCTGAGGATTGTTGCCAGCAGATAAGAGGCAGAACTGGAGAAGAAGTTAGGCTGTTGGGAGCTGAGAAGAGGCTGTTGGGAGCTGGTAGAAGCTGTAAGGAGCTGTTGGTTCTTTTGGAGGAGCTTGTCATGCTGGCTTTCCTAATGAACGTGGCTGTTTCCATGCTCTGAGGAGCTCGGGACCTTGTTGGCACTGAGAATAGCTTTGGTTCACTTTGGGGGAGTTCTGGTCCCCACTTTGAGAATCGCTTCCTGGCTCCAGAGGGGAAGATGGTGCACTGCCAGTCTCCGGAACTCAGCTGTTTTCACCATTGGAGAGCTCGGGACCTCACTGTTGCTGAGGATGGCTGTGACACTTTTCAGGGTAGTTCCAGTTCTTTGCGTGTCACTTCCTGGCTCCAGTGCAGATCCCTCAGCCTGCTAGCACAGATCCTTCATCCCACTGGCACAGACTTTCCAGATTCTACCACTGACCTTTGGCCCTTCCCAGTGCAGATCCGTGAAACAGGCCTGCATGAGACATTGTTGTGAGCTCTGGGCCTCCAGTTGGATTCGTGGGAGGCACTGTTATGGGCTCTAGGTATTCAGCTGGACTCATGTCGAACATTATTGCGGGATCCAGGTCCTCAACTAGATTCCTGGTATGTGGCCAGATTTCTTGCACCCTCTTGTATATGATTCTTTGGGTGACAAATATAAATAATCTTGTAAAATATATGTCCTGTGTTATATTGTTCCCCTTGCAAAATAAGCCCCAAACCATGACAGTATATATGTGCCAGATGTTTTAACATAAAACCATTTTACTCCAAATATGGGAAGCTAGAGTGTGAAATAGACTTGAAGAAATACCACTCATTACCTGTTTTTAAAAATAAGGTAAATGTCATTTAAGATTAACCAGACTACAGCCACAGCCTGAACTAACCTGGGAGCAGTTACCATAGCCACGCCCTTATATCTGTTTTCCACCTGCCTAATAGGTACTGGTGTTTATTGATTAAATTAGTGGTTTGCTGGATATTTCTGGTCACTCCTTCTTAAATGGTATATAATCGTTACAAACTTAAAGAGAGCCTATGTTTGCTTCATAGCTTAATTCTCTACCCTTAGGAAAGAGTTTTCTAGGCTGATGATTGTATATAGGTCAGATTTTAAAACAATCAATGACTTCCTGGTTGTACTAAGAAAAACAAAGCAAAACAAACTAACAAACAATCCTTGAAAACCTCCAGAGAATAAACCTGAGTCCGAATAGACATTCTTCATGTTAAATATAAATTTTTCCTGTGTTTGAATGTGCTCCCTGTTTTCCCCCTGTCCCACCAACTTCTTGCCTTGTATGACTTTGAAAAGGTTGAGTGACCTGGAGCAGGGAATACGGGAACATTTTCCACCCTGGGCACAGCTCCAAGCCACCTGTGCTCTGCATAGCTGAAGCAAGGGTTAAAGGCTTGGGGAGGAGGAGGGTTTCACACAGGGCCATTTGATGCAAGCATGAGGTGCTGACATTTGACCTAGGGCCACAGATTGCTTTGAAGCATATTCTAACTTTTGAAGCTAATTGCCACTTTCTGTCATGACTGCTTCTTGAGCAGAATAGTTAAGTATGCTTGGCTCCTGGTGCTGAGAAGTTATTGGATCCAGTTAGGGGAGCTAGGTTTCCGTGGCTCTGCCTTCCCTGATCAGATCTTGGCCAGATCACTAGATTTCTGAGTTTTGTTTTTGTTTGTTTGGTTTTGCAGTATTGGTGATTCAACTTAGGGCCTTCATACTGAATTACATCCCCAGCTCATTTTTTAATTTTCAGTCAGGGTCTTGCTAAGTTACCCACATATTGTGCTCAAAACTTGCCACCCACTTGTCTCAGCCTCCCAGAGTGCTGAGATTATAGGTGTGTGCTACCAGGCCCAGTTTAAATTTCCTAGTTTTGTTAGTTCTTCCTTTTGAGACTGAGGAGAGAAATAATTATGCCTAACTTTATCCATTTCAAGTTGGGAGCCGGTAGGAGGAGAGGGCAAGCCAACAGTAAGATATGATCTATTAAAAGAAAGACATATTTCTTGAGGAGGGACAGTGTTGTGAGAGAGGAAAATAGTGCCTTCTGTGGAGTCAGAGCAGCCCTTTTGTCTGGGGTTAAGGGAAGAAAGAGAGCTGTGGGCTGCAGTTTAAATTCTTGGGCTGTATCCTCTGGCAGAATGTTTAGGGGTTTCTGAGCATGGGAATAAGTGAGTAGCAACTGCATTTTAAAATTGGTTCCTCAACAACAAACATGTAGGCGCATGTAACTAGAAGAACTGCTTACTGCAAGGATCGTGGCAAGAAATGGACAACAACAGCAAACAAAACAAAACAAAAAATAAGAAGAGAAAATTCAAAGGAAGGATGTAGCAACTGATTTGACTGAAAGGGGTGAGGACAGGTCAAAGTTGACTCCAGGGTTTTGGGTCTCAAAACAAAGATGGCATTAACAGAAATGGACACTGTTAGGAGGAGCTGGTTTGTAGGGATTAGGGAAGAGAACTAAAACTTGTATTTTTGGTATGACCTGGGTCAGATATATACATTACAGATCATGATTTGTTTAGTCTTTACAGTGACCTTTCAAGATAGCTTATTTTTGCAGTTTTTTCTCCCCAGTATTAAGGATTGAACTCAGGGCTTTTGTTCTGAGCTACACCCCCAGCCCTTTTATATTTTGAGAGAGGGTCCTCCTAAATCGCTAAATTGCCCAGTTTGGGATTGAATTTATGATCCTTCTGCCTCAGCCTCCGAGAGTGCAGGGATTACAGGTGTGTGCCTCCATCCCTGGCTTGTTTTTACACTTTGTGTGGAGGAGGTGACTGAAACTTGAAGTGAAATAACAGTCCTGGTGGCATCCAGTGAGAAGGTGGCAGTTTTCTTCATGAACCCAGGCCTTCTGGCTCCATAGTACCCCCTTTTCTCCTTGTTTCAGTTGCCTCTGTCCCTTGTCACATGGACATGCTGAGTGACACTTTAGGATGGAAAAGGACACTCAGGTTCCTCGGTTACAACACTGGGGCATCAATAGGAAAGTGAATCTGGAGTGCAGGCTGGGGTTTGGGGAAAGGTTCAAATTTGTGAAGCCCCTGAACAGAGGAGGTATTTATTTAAAACTAGAGGAAGAAGTGAAACAATTGAGATAAGAACAAGAAGAAAATGTTCAGAGGACCTTTGACAGTGACTTGTTTTAGAAGTTAAAAAAGGGAGCTAGGATACAGAGTGAAGGAGGAGGTGAATTAGGACAGTGAGTCTCATGGATGCCCAAGCAAGGAGAGAATTTCCAGGGAAAGTGTCTCCACTGGAACCCCAAGGAGAGCTGCTGAATCTGGATTATATGCCAAGCATCTTCAGTGTTGATGGTGACATCAAAGGAGAACAGGCCACTGGATTTGGAGAACAGAAAAGTAAAGCTGATGTTGATGTTATCCTGGCTTACTAAATGTGAGCAGTTGCCACACATGCAGAGCTGGCTCACACTTGGAAAGCCAGCTTGTGGGGAAATGGTGTGTGTGGTGGTGACAGCAGCTTTTACCAGGGCTCATTGCAAGTTTCTCTCCTTTTCCTAGTAGCTTATAAAATTTGTCTGGTTAAAAAAAAAAGTGCTACAGGAAGAAGTTAAGAAATTTAATTACTTTAATGATTAGTTTTAGACATTAAAAAATACTGCAGGATGAGGAAGTTTCTCTTTTTAATGAGAAGGTTTCATAGTTTGAGCAAAAGACTGTCTTTAAACATACTTTTGGGGCAGGGGGTATAGGTCAGGTGCTTGTCTGTCGTGCCTGAGGATCTGGGCTCTATCCCCAGCACCACAAAAACAAACTCCAGATTCTTTTGAAATGGCCCAGCCTATACTATCTATATAGCTTTGTGTGTTTTCCTCTCTCTCTCTCTGTTTTTCATATACTATACAAAGAACTCAGTTATTTATGATGATACTTTATTAAGTGAGTGCTAATTCAATCAACTGCTTTTTTACTAGCCAATAAAATGATCTGTGTTTTTCTAGTGAAAGCAATAGATAATCCAAAAATGTGTTAAATCAGAGACTATTTCAGAGGGTCACATGAAAAGTTCAAACACTATTTTCTGCTTTTTAGAGGAAAAGTAATTAAAATCACAGTAGAAAAAAAAAACTAGCAGGGGTCTGGAAGAGAACAAAAAAATAGGAAGATGGAGGATAGTGGCTGAGAAATATTGTCACTAAACTCAGGGCACCAAACTCATAAATATGACAGAGATAGTTGGAAGAAAATCTGATGAAGGGGAGATCATACAGAAAAGGATCAGGTAACCTGAATGGTAGTCCCTGCTCACCAACTCACTGTCTTTGTGAGTTCCAATGAAGTATTTATCTTCTTTTGTCCTTATTTTTCTCATCTGGAAAACAAGGTATCCTTTAAAGAACTTTTCAATCAAAAGTGATGAGACTTTCTCATCATCTATGGGTATCTATTCTTTTAGCAAACCAGTTTGTAGTTGCCTGCCTCTGCCACTTGGTCCATTCTGTTCAGGCTCTTACACAGGGATGGCAAAGCTATTGAAGCAGGAGCAAACATATTATGGAAAAGAGCATGGGTGTGAGAACAGTGTTTGTTGTCAGGAGCTCTGTTGGATGAGCTGAGAGTCCATGATCCTGAGGAAGACTTTCTTAACTTGCTGTTAATTGTAAACTGGGTCTCCTTATCTTGCAGAGTTTTGTGCAACTTTTAGAATCCCCTTCTTTACCCAGGTGTTCCTATGAGCTTATTTGAAGGCAAGATGACTTTGCTAACACTTTGAAGATTTGTTAGGAATAAGTCGGTAATTTCGGTCAAATTTTAATTCTTTTTCTTTTGAGAAGAGGATTAACTAACAAAGCATCTTGTGTACTGAGAAGGTTATGGTTTAATTAATATGAATTGACTCACTGCCCAAATAAGCAGCTGATAGGAGCTACAAACCGAGGGTCAAACTTATCAATCAGATACATCCCAGAGAAACAGTGTGTTAGACACCCGATGAGCAATTTACCTCTCTCTCAGTGCACTTGCCCACCACACAAGGGATTAAGGAGTGAAAATCAGGTGAATTAATGATGCCAGGAGGTGCACATCACCAGTGTGAATTAGCTAAGCACCATAGGGTTTGTTGGGTTAAGTGTCAAGGAATGACCAACAAAGTTGAGATACCAGTGATTTTGGCTCAAGACTGCTGTTACCTGGTGTGTTTATGCGTAATTCCCATAACTTTCTGGATCTCCATTGCCTTACTCGTCTGCAAAATAGGGTGCCAGGTGAAATTATCAACTGGATCAGGCAACTGCATTTGCTAAGTCCCTCATTCTTGGAGCCTTGTTTGAAATTGCCCAAAATTGTTGTCTGTGTTACTGCCTGTTTTGGAGTTTACTGCTATTATTTTTCCCCTCCACCAGGCCAACAAAAATCTTGAGTCATATTATAGTAAAATTTGCTCTGCTCCTCTTCTCCTAAAGAACAATGTGGATCATTTTTGAAATTGTATCACAACTAGTGGCTTAAAACAGGGTTTTTGTTTATTTTGTTTTTGTTTCCTGGATCCTTTCTTAGTTGAAAGAAAATGTGTGGGCCTTCTCATCTAAGTGTCTAGTGACACATTTGTGTGAGGTTCAGGGAGTTCTTGAACTTCAGACTCAGAACCTAGCCTGAGAACGCATCATCAGGAAAACTACCGATGTTCTGTTTATACCTTTGAGTACTACTATTGATTTCTTCAGGACATGCTAGGAACTGGACCTAGGAGGGACATAGGAACCCAAACAGACTGACCCTGAAGAATGACCTAGTAACTGTAGTGCCCCAGTTGTGAATGAGCCCAAAACGTAAACTCCTCCTTCAGACAGAAGCATTTGCTGGAGGCAAGCTATGTCCTGTGATGAGTCCTGTACACCCACTGAAATGGAAAATAACCATGAAATTTCAGTTTCTAAAGTAAAGTGGGAACAAGTCTTTTAGCTGTTCTTTGTACCGTGGTACTAGTAAGTTTGGCATCCTCCAACTTTCCCTGAGCAGGACACTATCTGCATATAGAAGTTCTTAAGTAGTGAGTGTGGTGGTGCGTGCCTGTAATCCCACCATTTTGAGAGGCTGAGGCAGAAGGATGGCAAATTTGAGCCCAGCATAGGCAACTTAGTGAGTCTCCGTCTCAAAAAATAAAAGGAGTTGGCATGTGGTAGAATTCTCCTGTAGTAGATACTTAGTATTGCAACAAACAAGCAAATAAACAACAAACAGCAAACAAAAAGCTCTCACATTAGGATAGTAAAGTACTTCTGTTCATGGTAGGTTCATTTCATGGAGATACTATTTTCACAAATCTCTATTGTGTTTTCCTCTTTTTTTTTTTTTTTTAATCTATACACACTCTTATATTTCTCTTCTCCTTAGATCAGTCTGGGTATGACCAGTTACTGATACACTTAATATGTCGGACACTTGCATCACTCCTTTAGTTTGTCCTGGAGTTAAAACATTTCCTTAACAGAGCTGTCACAGTTTGGACTGCTGACTGCATTTGTTTCCCTTTGGTTTGGAGTGTAGGCTTACTCATTTTCAATTTGGAAATAAACAAGCACTAGCTGACAGCATCTTCCTTTGAGTTTTTTGATAATATAAAAGTAGAGGAAAGTGGAAACAGGATTCTATTTTGGACAAAACAGCTATTCCTATATCATGAAAAAGG